TGCTATTCAAAGTCAATAAGTCAATGGTAGGACAAAAGGGGTGATCACTATTTTGAAGAATATAACTACTATGTGAGCACCCCAAGTCGAGCTTAAATTTATGAATACACCCCATTTATCACTTGATATTCATTTCAAGGTTCAATAAGTTTCAACGTAATCCAACAAAATGTCGAGAAAAATCAAGTAAAATTGTTTATTTATTATGGTTCAGAAAAGTCAATTCCTTTAATAAATATAAATAATACAGCATTTGTTTCAAATAGATTAGCCTAAGTACTTGGAATTCACCATGATATTTTGTTTAGAACCTACAAATTCAACTTATGTAGCAAGGAAAATTTGTTATCAAGAATATAAAATTTCATAAGATCAATGGGTATCTTGTATTTTCAGGGACATAGTATGTACTAAGAGTAGGAGTGTCAAGATTTTGAGGGTAACTTTATTTGGTCCAATGTTGGATCCAATTGTCCTTCGTGACTTATACGCACTTTGTTGAGTTGGTGAATACAATTTTCTTATTAAACCCCCTTACATCGTCCACAACCGTAGATACTACCCAGTTTTCTCACGCCCAACTCCGCATTGTCCAGTGACAGGAACAAGTCCACCCTCCGCTACATGAACAGCAGCGGTCCCAGCACACAGCCTTGTGGCACTCCATATCCAGCAACTACATATGTACGAGTGATCTATCGCCTCTTCATATAACAATAACATTTGCGTAACCGCCGGACAATTTCGCCATTAGGTAGTCTGATTTATCGTCGTGTCGCAAGGAGCGGCAAGGGCGTAGCGCGGCCTTGTCAAGGCCGTCCAGTGGGGCGCGCGCCGCTCAGGTGTGCCCTGATTACTTCCTCGCAAACAATCGCGGCGATGATAAATTGATAAGCCGATCACCGATCGCAGTAATTTGGGCTGAGGTAAGAGTCTGAGATTAAATTGGAAGTTTGCGATGTGTCGAGTTGGGATTGAATTGGAGCTATAATTATACACTGAGGCTGAAATAGGAGTTGGATTGAACGTGAATGAAGTTTTAAAATGCGGTCATTCAAATACTTTCAGGCGAAGAGGTGAGAAACATGTAATTATCAATTAAAACATATGAGCAATACAAGTGATTTTCACAACAGTGGTCAAGCCATTGATGAGATTGTTGGCAAAATGTTCAATTTTGGTCAAGGATATTATGAAATGATTGACCAAATGATAGTTGTTGAAATAGTAGTCTCAAGTGGTTGAAAAGTTGACCAACAGAGACGTAGCGGTTAAAAGATATTGCTCATGTAATTATATTGGATAACTGACCAGATTGTTCTAAATAATAGCCAAGCAGTTGATAAGTTTACTGGACAAGCGACTGTTCAAATCTGAGGTTATTAGCTTATTTATACCCTAGTGATTGTTCCCTAGCAAAGTATTTAAAAGTCTTTTGCCAAGAAATTCATAAAATATTGGTTAACTGTATGAACAAGTTTTCGTTCAAAACAGTCGTCTAGAAAACTATAGATCGTCTAGCCAGAAGATTCCAAAAACGACTGGCAATAATATGATGAGATGACAGTTTTGTAAACTATTAGCAATACAGTTTATGACGATTGAGTGTCAAACTCCGAATGATTGTTCAAATCAACTGTCAAGATATTGTTGAAAGTCTGCTCAGGATATCTAGTAAGTCTATGACAATATAATGTTTATGGTGACTAAACTAGTGAATATTGACCGACAAAGTGATAGTTACATTCACTGCCTAATCAATTATTGCAATATACAGACCGTTTGAAGGTTATGTTGGCTGCGTTTGGACTGAAGGACAATAGGAAGGGTGTTCTATTAAAAGAACATCAGGCGTAATAAGTGCTCCATTATAAAATAGTTCGGCCTCTGCTATTAATATTCGCCCTTCTCTGTTTTTTTTTTTATCAAATGAAAAAGGTCTAAAATCCTGGAAGTATGGAGCCTTTGCAAAAGATCTTGGTGTTTCTTTAAAAATTTTTTAATAGCAATTATTTTTATATATGTTTTGTTTATAAATCTTATTTTACTTTTTGTTTGTATTACCATAAAATTACAAAGTATTTGCTAAGTAACATGGTAACATCTCAACTATTTAAGCTGCCTTTGTTTGCAAAGCTAGGTTAGGACAATTTCCAGGTCAATAAGTTCTTAAGGTTTTTTTTTTTTTTTTTTTTTTTTTAAAGGGGATCTTCTGCAAAAAATCAAAAAAGAAAGAAAAACTGTAGTTAAAATCCGTTGATTGTCTTCAAATTATTTAAATTATTCAAATAGGGTCATGTTAGGTTACGTTAAAGTAGTTAGTTGATGTTATAATTGTGTAATTTGAATAGGTATAATATCGTTTTGGAGAGTATGTAAACAAAAACAATCCTACCTAACAACCTGGCCAACTTGTTTTTGAAGAAGTTCAAGGCAGTTTACTTTTTTAATGTTTTGATTTTTCCCCTTTGTGTTAACCTCTAAAGTAAACATAATGAGAGCAAACACTATACACAGGTGTTAGCGTGTTGTGTCCTTGGCCTTGACCTCTAATTGCCACACAGCTGTTCTGCTGTTCTGCACAGTGTGACCAACTACACGCGAGTAATTGCCCCAGTGCTGCCAAATTAATAACAATTAAATTTCTAACAGCCCATAATGACAACAATCTACGTCGGTTAATGAGCAGCCCACAAATTGGCAGCTAAAGCAAACAAAGGTTAACAGCTCTATAATACTCGGTCGTTCAACATTTTAGTTTATCTACAAGCTTCCAAGTAAGGGCAGGTAATTTGTCACATGCTTGCATGTTTGATTCAATCAAGATAGTGTCGTGGCTTGTGATGCAATAAAGCTTTTACGGTATTAAATATGCTTTTAATTTTTAATAGGGTAATTAACTTACTAATGTTACTTTCATGAATTATTTATTACATGTCTCTAACACTATCAGCAGCAGTTGTAGTTGATCAGGATGTTTTCTATGCTGGTCAAACTAGAATCACGACTAGAAGACTTTGCATATCGATTCGTTTACACGCTGGAAGTTATGGACTAAACCAGTGACACACCACGTTCAACTCTAGATTAGCTCAGATAAGTATTTGAAAAAAAAAACTCAATAACTCCTTTGCTCAACCAAAAGAACTAATACAAATTTGCATTAGTCATATCAATTTCTTTACGTCTAAAATTAAACAATGGCGATTCAACCAAACTAACAGTAACAGACTTCGTTAAAACTAACCAAACCCGTCAGCGACACAATCACGGACCCTGTAGTACCCCTTGGCCAAAAGTATGTTTTTATTTGCTTTTTTGAAGTGGTTTAAGTCCGACTGCAGCTGAAGGAAGGGAGGGAGGAGATTAAAAAGTTCAATGCTATTGTAATGGAAGTGTCTCTTTAATAATGTTGTTGAGTGAGACGGCAATTTAAGATGATAACTGTTACGTAGTGAATATGAATGTGTAGGTGAAGATTGACGTATGTGTAGGTTCTTTGTAATGAGAATCAAAGTTTCTAAAATGTAAATAGAGGAAAATGTTAACATTTGTGATGAAGCAAAATATTGCCTGCAAGATGTTCTCCTACCTATTCAAACCAAAGACTATTCTGACTGCCTTTCTTCTGGAGTTGTAATAGGAAAGACGTTAAAGTAAAGATATAGTTAATAAAAGCGTAAAGATATCTTTTTTGGGTTCCTCAATTCACACACTACTCTATCCGCTGTGCTCGAAGTAACTCATAGACTTTCATCTGGTTGTTTTCAAACTCTTTTGTTGGTTTTACGATTTTGTAAGAGCGGCTCCCAAGTCCCAACCCAAGTTTTCCATCTTGTTGCTTGATATCATCATGAATTGGCCAATGACAAATGACATCTTCACTCTGCATCGATCTCGTGTATTGAAGAACCAACAACCTTCAAATTCGAAGGGACCACTATCAGGATAAACGGAAAACTAAAATTAAATGTATTCATTAGTTGATAGTTACCGCACATTTGATCACATCTGCATTGAAAATGCACGATTGAAACTACCAACGTATGGTGGTTCCTGTTCGGTTGACATCCACCACTCTCTGATCCGCGTCCACCTCCTGTATCGCCCATCGTCTGTCGTGCCCCACGGGCTCCTAATCAGGCCCGCTAATTCCTCCTTTATCTCCCGCATTCACTGCGACTCATCCATTAATCTAATTACTGACCCTGGTTGTAGCGTTCCACTTCCTTATCGCGGACCTCCGGGTCGACCGTCCCTGCCTTCATTAGCGTCTGAGACATTCCTTGGACGGCTATTGGATTAGTGAGGGATTACCCAAAACAAATATCAAATGCCAGCATTTTGTGGATAATAAGAGTTGAATCAGTGAAGGATTTGGTTTACCAAAATAAACGTCATATACCAAATGTATACATTGGATCAATAAAGGATTTGGCGTACCCAAAACAAACGTCAACTACCACAATTATACTTTGGAATTGGATTTCGAACGTTAGACCAGTAAATGATTTGGCATACCGTACCTAAATAAAGTACGTAAACTGCCACAAGCATACCTTGGACAGTGTCTATTGAATCATTAAAAGGGTTTGGCATACCTAAATAAACATCTAGGTCGCAAGCATATCCATACCTTGGAAGACGGAAGGTAAACCAAAAAAGGACCAGCAAGAAAGGGGTGGGCTTAACCAAAACAAAACTCACTTATATTTATTTTATAAAAGTAAATTGACTCATAAACCTTTTCGCTAGCTCAAGAATGCAATTTTTCAGAAAGTGGACATAGGTATTTTGAAGTGATGTGTAATCGCACTATAATAAATAATAAATTATTCACAAAATTTATACACTGAGGCTTTTTAAGCAAACGTCAATGAAAAGTATTTATATTGAAGTATTGACAATCTATTACAACTAAGTCTGCATGAAGCTTTGTATTGATCATATGGTCGTCAACTATGTTTACAAATATTTTTATTTGTATATTTATCAAAATCTATAATTATGATAAAATGGGTTAAACACAATCACCATGGTTGGCGAAGATAGCAAACGTCAAGTATTTGAAGAAAGACTACATAGGATAGTTTCAAAAACTCACAGCATTTCCGCCTTTTTACAATGGTATGGGTTGGACATATACTTGTATGGTTGGATTTTCATGCTTGGTCATCGTAAGGTGGGATTCCACTTCAGCACTGTTTGTGCTCCAATACTTGGACTTGTGATGAGTGACATACTGTGGCACAAGAGAGAGCAAGCGAGGCTTGAAGAGGTTGCGCAAATATTGAGGGATGAAGATAGTTATTTGGTTCTGTCTAATGTGAATCGACTTCTACCATGGCTACGTCATCCAGATATCGAATACTGTAGTTGGTTGAACAAGTTGATCTACGACACGTGGCCCTATGTCTGTGCGAATGTAGAACACCGAATAAAAAAGAACAACTTTAAGCGGTTAAAAATCTCTAAAGCACATTTGGGTGAAGTTCCACCCATGATAACCGGCGTTAAAGTACACGATAAGGAGATCAACACTGACCAATTGACTATTGATGTATATTTGTATTTCTCTGGAGACTGCGAGTTCAGTTTCTCAGTTGCTTCTTTGTCATTGGGTATCAGGAACTTTCAGGTCAGAGGTTCAGCTAGAATGGTGCTTTTCCTCATGGATACACCGCCTTTCATAAGAGGTGTTCAGTTCTGTTTCCTTGATCAACCTGAAGTAGATTTCACTCTAACGGGTGTTGGAAGTCTAGGTCTGATTGAAGAAACAGTTAAGAGTTTTATCAAAAAAGAAATATCCTTGCGTTTGGTTTTTCCTCGTTCTTACACTTTAGTGTTGAGTGAAAGTGCACAAGAAGGTCTGCAAGATCCGGGAGGTGTGATCAGGATCAACGTGGTCAAAGCGAAGGGCTTGGAAAACAAAGACGTGTCGTTCCCTTTCTCAAAGAACCTGTCAGATCCTTTTGCAGAAGTAAAATATGGGTCGAAGGTTTGTTGGTCTGAGGTTATAGAAAATAGTAGTAACCCTCAATGGGACTTTTGGTGCGAATTTGCAAAAGACGATAACGAAGAAGTTCACTTCAGATTGATGGATAAGGACGTAAATTCAAACGATTTGATCGGTTCTTGCTCCTTAAGTGTGGCTGAAATTAAAAACAAAGGAGTAATAGACTCTTGGTTTAGGCTGAGTGGAAGTAAAGGATCGATTTACATTCGGGCTTTCTTCCTAAAGTTATCATCTGACGTCAGTAAGGTGGCGTTTCCACCTCCAAAACTGTATTTTCTTTCATCTTTTTTATTGGTAGTCCGAGTTAAATGTGCCTACAATCTTCTGTTACCGAGAAGTTTTAAGAACCCCAGTCCCAAGGTACAACTCACTGTGGGAAATGACGATCAAGAAAAAGAAACTGAAGTTGTTAAAAACACAGCCAATCCAGTATTTGACCAGACGTTTCAGTTTTTTGTAAATAACATAGATTTCGACAGATTAAAAATGCGAGTTGTTGATGAAGATGGCAAGACAACGATTGGTTCTTTTACTTATAGTTTGAGAAAACTTCTCGATTGTGATTTGGAAATCTTGAATCATCAGTTTCCTCTTCAAGAATCTGCATCGGATTCTACTTTAGTTGTATCAATGAGACTAAGAATTATAAAAAATGTTTTTATTTAATTCCTTGGTTTAATTAAAGCTTGTGGTCGGTATTAAAGGGGGTCTGACTTAGGGGAGGTACGAATGAGGCATTAGTTTAAAATTCCTCCGTGAACAGCGCTGTAGTAGAGAGTACTTTGGCAAAGAAGGTTTACTAATCGCAAAAATAGTTTTGTTCATAAAATAAAATTATAAATGCCTCAAATTCAATTTTATTATTTTTTAATTATAAAATTAAACTATCATAACCTAACAGAACTAACCAAACTTGCTGATAATGAAATAATATAACAAAAGTTTATTAAAAAAAAATATAATTCTGTTTATAATGACTTAATAATAAAATTAAACTGTCATAACCGAACCAAACCAACCAAACTTGCTGATAATAAAAAAATCTTGGACAAAAAGTTAATGCCACGAGCGGGATTTGAACCCTAGACCCTTAGCATATCAGCCCGGCACGCTAACCATTAGACCATCGAGGCCGATGTCTAATGGTCATCGTAGCCTTATCTATACCTCCCCTGAGTAAATACCGTATTAAAGGCTACACAAATGCTTAAAGCACACCCATACTAAATAGGGAAAACATATTATGTCTAATATGTGTAAAAGATCGTGTCATTTAGAATGGTGTGTAGGAAATGAGGAAAAAGTTCCAAACAATGCAGATAGTTACACCAATGGACGGCTATTAGTAACAGTCAAAGGTAATATTAAATTATTCCAAAGCCAATTATTTGTTGATATGACTGTATAAAATAACAATACCCCCACCGCAGCAAACCTGCAGACTAAGCGAATTTCAACTTGTCTGATTACATTGTTACTAAAATATTTCCATAAATAAGACATATTTATTGGCAATTTAAATAACATTAGATTTAAAGAGTGTTTAGGTTTGCTGGAAAAAGTGTTTTTGACCATACGTCAATAGTATAAGATGAAATAAATAAATTTGCCAAATGTTATCAACATATAATCCATAGACAAGTAAACTACAACAGTTTTAATTTTCTCCATAAGAATAACATGGGAAATTTAAAATACACTATTTTTGGAATTTTCTCCGTGACCGTTAGGCATACAACAACGCTTCAATATAGGCCTACTAAATTATTATTTTTTTTAAGCTTTACAAAACGTTTTAAGAAGAAATTGAAAATTGTTTGTGTTTAGGGTTGAGAATGGGAAAACCCTATTTTCACCCCATAAAACACCCCATAAACTTCCGTTCCCATGGTCCGATTATGCTGGTTCGCGAACTCGTTCGAATAAACGTAGGTTTACACGTTTGTACCAAATTTCATCAAAATTGGATCATTTTTGCCCGAGTTATCGTGCTAATGGACACATATATGTCCATGTATATATATATATGACACATATATATGTCCGTGTATATATATGACACATCTATATATTAATTTGAACGGATGGTGTTTTTTAGCTCTAGGGACCTCAAAACGAAAAATTAAATCGGTCCCGGGTCCAGGTCTTACCATGAGTACTATGGCAATAGTTGTTCCCTATATGGGAAATTTGCAAAAAAAGCAACGGAGCGGCGGCGGTGGGGAGAGGGTTCTAATGGTTCTATTACACAGGTTCGTCTCACTCACCACTCTATTCACACGATCTATACTAATAGCTTAAACTCGTCTACATGATTAGCATTGCTATACCTCACACCTTTCACTACAATAGTCAATAAGATGCAGGATAGCTCAGTAGTAGTGCAAGTTAGTAGAGCTGGTGTCTGATTGTCTACAAGACACCATTAGACAGTCGTGTATCTGTCCATACATTGTCTGTACCACTGTGACATGTTGTCTCGGAGTGGATCCACATTACATCTCAAGATAGTAAATGAGACGCAGGATAGCTCAGTAGCAGTAGCAGTACAAGCAGAGCTGGTGTCTGATTGTCTACAAGCAGACAAGGCAACACCATTAGACACTCGTGTATCTGTCCATCCATTGTCTGTACTGTGACTGTGACATGTTGTCTCGAAGTGGATCCACATAACATCACGAGATAGCAAATGAGTTGCAGGATAGCCCAGTAGCAGTACAAACAGAGCTGGTGTCTGATTGTCCACAAGCAGACAAGGCAACACCATTAGACACTCGTGTATCTGTCCATCCATTGTCTGTACCACTGTGACATGTTGTCTCGGAGTGGATCCACATTACATCTCAAGATAGTAAATGAGACGCAGGATAGCTCAGTAGCAGTAGCAGTACAAGCAGAGCTGGTGTCTGATTGTCTACAAGCAGACAAGGCAACACCATTAGACACTCGTGGATCTGTCCATCCATTGTCTGTACTGTGACTGTGACATGTTGTCATGGAGTGGATCCACATAACATCTCAAGATAGTAAATGAGACGCAGGATAGCTCAGTAGCAGTAGCAGTACAAGCAGAGCTGGTGTCTGATTGTCTACAAGCAGACAAGGCAACACCATTAGACACTCGTGGATCTGTCCATCCATTGTCTGTACTGTGACTGTGACGTTTTGTCTCGGAGTGGATCCACATAACAGCTCGAGATAGTCAATAAGACGCAGGATATCCCAGTAGCTTTACAAGCAGGGCTTGTGTTTGATTGTCTACAAGCAGACAAGGCTACACCATTAGACACTCGTGTATCTGTCTGTCCATTGTCTGTACTGACTGTGACATGTTGTCTCGGAGTGGATCCACATAACAGCTCGAGATAGTCAAAGAGATGCATGATATCCCAGTTGCTGTACAAGAAGTGCTGGTGTCTGGTTGTCTACAAGACAACGCCATTAGCAGGTCGGAGATTAAAGCATTGTTTGTAATCCTATAAAAAGAATTCGTGAATAGAATCATGTATGTATTTTTATGTTAACAGATTTGTTGTGTTTGCTGAATCTAGTTATGAAATCCAGCATTGCTTTAGCTTGTTTTTGCCCTTTTTGAATTGATATCTCAGAGTCTATTATAATCTCTAACTTCAAAGGATATATGTTAGTCTGAGTACATATTTCTAAAACCAAACATAATGAATTAACAATTTAACCTACGACTCAAAACTCAAAAGCAAATTTTGTGAGGGCGAAAATGTCCTTAAAACTGGTCCCTCCTCATATTACAACTGGTTTTCATTTTCAATTATCATTACATTACATATCATTTGAAAATACTTCCATACGGGTTTTCAACACCCGGGATCAGCCATTATTGCATACCTTGACCAACGCAAGACTTATTTATCAATCATTATCTACGGCGTCCACTTCTTATCACAGTTTGACCTGGCTCTTCAATTAGGATTTGCCGCCATTAAATCTCATTAGGTTGAAAAATAGGATCACTCGGCATCTGGGACGTCAATTAAATATTGATTTAAATTAAATTCCAACGATAAAATGGTCGCTCGGACTTACAAAGGTTGCGACAATTAGTGGAGCCGATCAGATAGGCGGAGGTCGTTAGGACATCTCTCGTTCTCTCTCTCTCCCTCTCTCTCTCTCTCACTCTCTCCTTGACCGGAGTCCGACATATCTGGATCAGCGAGGGTCAAATCACGTGACCTGACGGCCTCTACACCTGTCTTCGGATCAGAGGTTTCTGGAGCCGTTATTATTGAGCGAATGGTATTAGTTGCCAGCCGTGGCTGATTTAAACTGTGACCAAAAATGGTCTGTGTCAATGCTGCAGAATATAGTGAAACTATTGGCAAGATTGTTGGTTCCGTCTCATAGGGGACCCAATGGACCCATTGTGGGATGTCTAATGTAGTGCTTGCCTTGTAATGAGGGGGTCACCGATTAAATCATGAGAAAAGGAACAAGCTTTGTAATGGCTCAAAACACTTACCAGCATCATCATTTGCTTTTAATAAACGGTCCTTGCTAAAATGACTTCATATTTGATAACAAAATTGCCTCTAACTTCATTCGACACACATCCTTCCCTCATCTGCGCGTTTTTCTAGTGGGGCCTTGTCTACGCTCACTGGGTTTTCGGTGTCTCATAATATAAAACTAATCTAAATAAGGGGATTTGCACGTTTACTTCAAACAGACGAACACTAAAACAGACATAGAAGACTTGGTTTTTGTGTCAAAGCCGAAGATTACATAAATCCAAAACAATATAGTGGCAGAACTCAAATTTCAAGTCTATAGACGAAAATGCAAACAGTCCTAAACATTTTACAAATACTTTTCTCTTCAATTCTGACTGGTCACAAGGATGTTCAGAGCCTCGTCACCCACACCGTTCTGCCTGACCTCCTCTATGTTCTATGGACCGATTGTTTATTTGCCCAGTCTTGGGTCTCGGAGACAAAAACCGACCACTTCCCGATTGCGGCTGCCCTGCCTACCCAGCCGTGGACGATGACAAACCACGGAGGTTTTTCGTTGTTCATCAGTGAGTCTTCGTGAAATATATTTTTGTTTGTATAAAACTGTAAAGTGCGTGACGTTTTAGTGGAAATTCAAATGAAGCAGCTGGGCATACTTAATTATGAATTAGAAAAGTAAACAAGCAAATGTAAACAAAGTGTTTTTGCGTTTCTTTCGGCTAATATAGCTTCAAAAATCTAAAGCCAGTTTGCAAATCTGCACACCCAGACAGTTTTGATACATATTATGTGGGGGTAAGTCTTGAAACAAAAATCCTTACCGGGAACAAACTTTCCATGTAGCTTAAATATAGATAATTCCCATTCTGTTGTAAATGGGTTTTTTCAAAAAGAGGGCCACCAGCCACCTCTATTTTAAACTGCGCTCTGGCTGTTGGTATAATTAGATCGAGTTGGGTCATATTAGTTCACGATAGTGACAAAAGTTGTGATTTTGTGCAATGCATTAAAGAGACAAACGTACAAAGACGGGAATTCGTATGTGACTTTGCTCATGTGTTAAGAAAAAGGTAAACTTCGTAAGTGTTACCTTACTTGTTATCTTAAACTAAACCAAACCTCGGCAGCGCCCTCAGTGGTCGTCTTCTTGACAAGCCCAGCAACGGCAAGTGCGTTGCA